CCTCCGAGATCCCATGGGGCCTCAAGATTCTTGCAGTCTAGAAAGAAGTCACTAATAAACCAATTAGGTCAGCAGACCACCTGAAACCTTTTCACTATCCAGGGCCTACTGTGTGCAGCAAAGGAGGTTAGTCCACACAGCTGACGGCAGAGAGGACAGGGTTGAGAAGAGCTGACAGCAAACAAACCACACGCATCCCCCGAGGAGGGCCATCCCCATTCTTTCACCTTGGGCACAGAGCTGCTCCCACAGGCAGTCTGAGAGGCTGTCTGAGGACAGGCTAAGGTAGACTGCCACCAGCTGCAGGGCCTGGACACGCAACAGGTACCAAGCCTTGGACGACTTCTGGAGGGCAGGATCCCGAAGGACAGTGAGCAGCAGGGAGATACCCTCAGTTACCTGGGAGAGAGCAAGGGCCAAAGGACAGCAGTTGGTAAAGTCAGGTGAGGGTTTCAGAGCCTGAGATGCCTCTTGACACCATCTGGCCTGATTCCCTGACTTTTTTTTTTTTTTTAAAGGTTTTTGCCATAGGGTGCATACACTCACTGGAGAGACTGAGAGAGGGAAAGTGAGAAATGACCTGCCAGGGGGCAGAGGAGGTGCCTCCATTTTCCTCTTGGGATTCTGGGTGTGCATGCAGACACGTTGGCATGATTCTCAAGTCACCAAGTCTGGGGCTCAAAATATGGTCGGCCATGTGGGGATCCAGCACCTTAACCAACAAGCCACCTGCTGGCCCTTGGTCCCCTGCTTTTAAAAATGATAAAAGCTTGGTACTAGCCCACGGTGTAGCAGTTAGTCGCTGGATTCCCACATGGCCGACCAGTTAGAGTCTTGGACCCAGTGGCTTTAAAATCACACTGGGTGCATGGGGCTGGCAGGTGGAGTAGTGGTTAAGGTGACTGGACTCCCACATGGCTGACCAGAGTTCAAGTCCTAGATCTGGCACCTTGCTTTTGCACTTTCCTTCCCTCTGTCTCTCTCTGGTCAACTTCAATAAAATAAAATGACAATGAATAAAATCAAATAAAATAATTCTAAGAAAGAAAAAAAAAAAGAGAGATGATTCTTAGGTATTTTTAAAAAATACTTAAGAAAGTATTTTTCTTGGGCATGTGCGTGTGTGTGCCCAAGATCCCAGGAGGAGAAGAGATTGTAGCATGGCCATCCCCTTGGTGTGTGGAGGGATAATTTCTCACTTCCCTATCACTATCTCTTGTCTCTCTCTCTCTAGCAAGCTTGCATGCCCCAAGGCAAAAACCTCTATTTTTTTTTTTTAAAAAAAGATAAAAGTGAGAGAGAAAACCCTAGAAAGAGAGTAAGACTTGGCCAAATCACACAGCCAGTTTGGGAGAAAACCCAGGTCTTTGGATCCCACTGGGTTTCTAGTTGAAGGATCCAGTGCCTTCCCAGGATCACAGGCATCCTAGCTTCTCGTCACAGGACAGACTTCCCCTTGGCCCTGAGGAAACTGGAAAAAAATGAATAGAATAGGGCCAGCAGATGGTGTGGTAGTTAAGGTGCTGTATCCTACATGGCCAGCTCCATGGTTCAAACACCAGACCCGAAAAACATGCCAGATGTGTGTAGCCCAAAATCCCAAGAGGACAGTAGAGAAGAGATTGTGGTATGATCATCCATGCTGTAGGTGATTTCTCCCTTTCACTCTCTCCAGTGAGTGCATGTACCCTATAGCAAATTAATTATTTTTTATTAAGAAAAGAAAAGTCTCTCTGCCAGAGGGGGACTAGTGAGCAAGTCGCCAACAGGGCCAGGGTTGGGAGCATTCTTCCTGGCTCCAGGGACATTTCAGAAGTCAGACAAATACCTAAGACATCCTAAAATTTCTCATACTCCAGGTCTTTTGGAATTAAAAAAAAAATACCTTCTGCTGAGTCCAGTAGAGTTGACTTTGAAGTAGATCGCAGGTCAGAGAAAGGAGCAGGTGCGTGTCAGTGGTCTGATCCAGACATTTTAGGCTCAATTTTGCCTCTTCCAGATGTAACTGAGGAAGCAAGCAGAGTGTATGGCCGAGCATGCCAATGAGAAAAGACATAGAGCCTCTTCAAATTAAAGCAGAGGAAAGCAAAATCCTGAACAAGTCAAATGTTATACTCTACGTAAAAGTTATTCACTAAAATGTTTATTTAACATATTTGCTATATGCTAGAAAGACAGAGCTGACTAGAGTGAGCAGGGGCCAGTAGGTGGCATGGTGGTTGAGGTGCTGGGCTTCCACATGGCCCGCCACAATTCAAGTCCTGGACCTAGCAGCTTGCTTTCTCATTTCCCTCTCTCACTCTGTTTCTCTCTGGTGGTGTGCATGCCCTATAGCAAATTAAAATAATAATAAATAAAATAAAAAATTCTTTTTAATAATAAAAAAAAGAGTGCTGGATTTCCACATGGTCAACCATGTTTTGAGTCCCAGACCCAGTGGCTTAAAAAAACATCACACTGGCCATGTGCACATGCATGCCCCAAATCCTGAAAAGAAAATTTGGGAGGTTTTATGATGTGGTCATCTCCCAAGGGGGGTGGTTCCTCACTTTCTCTTTTTCTCTCTGGTGAGCCTACACACCCTGTGTCAAAAACCTCTCCAAAAAAAAAAAAAGCAGGACCTTCCGTCAGATAGCACCGAGGTAGGGGAGACACAGGCCTCAGCCCCCATGTGATCATGATACAATGCCATGAGGGCTATCCAGTGTATGGGGACCTGGAGAAAGTGGCTAATTCTCCCCTCGAAGAAGAGGATATAATAAAATGTTTTTTGCAGAGTGGGAGATGACAGAGGGTAAGAGATAGGGAATCAAGGATGGGGGGGAAGCAAAACATACAGGAAACAAGAAATGGAAAATTATTTGCTGACAATAACATGTTTGTTGATGTGCTTGATTGAGACAATATACAGTGTACTCTGGATGGAAAATCTCATTTTGTATGCTGTAATGATGTACAGTGAATGAATGTAAATAAATTTAAATTTAAAAAAATGCTTTTTGAAGGAAGGGACAATTGAGTTGGCCTTAAAGAGAAAGTAGAGGTTTGGGAATTGAAAAACAGGGGTGGGAAGGCTGGCTCCATGGTCTCATGGGTAAGAGAGCTGGATCCCACACAGCCAACCACGTGGTTCAAATCCTCATCCTGGTGGCTTGAAAAACATGCTGGGCATATGTGTATGTGCCTAAAATCTTGACAGGATAGAGAGGGGGGGGAGGGGTTTTGGCATGCAGCAGGTGGCATAATGGTTAAGGTGCTGGACTCTCTATTGGTCAGCCATGGTTTGAGTCCTGGACCCGGTGGCTTTGAAACTGATGCTGGGCATGTGCGTATGCCCAAAATCCTGTGAGAATGGAGGAAAAGGGATGGCAGTGTGGCCATCCCCCTTGGGGGGGGTGACTTCTCGCTTTCTGTCTCTCTGTCTCTCTCTGTCTTTCTGGCAAGCGCATACACCCTATAGCAAAACCTCTCCAAAAAAAAGGGATTATGGCATGACCACATCTCAGTAGGGGGTGCTTTTCTGTCTCTTTGACAAGTGCACGTGCCCTTTGGCAAATTTTTAAAAAAGGGGGAGTGGTAGGGAGAGGAGGGGCATTTGGGTTGGGGGAACTAACGCAACCAAAGATCAAGGCACATGTAGAAAATATAATGGCATAGATTGGCATAAGGCTCATTAATAGTACAAAGTGACAGAAAAAGTGTTAACCAGAACGTAAAAGATGTGCAATATAGAGTCTGGACAGTACCTTTTTTTTTTTTAAAATAATTATTTAATTTTATTTATTCATTCATTTATATTAATTTGACCAGAGAGACAGAGAGAGAGAGAGAGAGAGAGAGAGAAAGTGAGACAGCAAGCCACCAGGTCTAGGACTCGAACTGTGGTCAGCCATGTGGGAGTGTCCAGTGACTTAACCACCACGCCACCTGCTGGTCCCCTGGACGGTATCTTTCCAATAATGGAGAAGCTGCTGAAATCTTGTAAGCGAGAAAGAATAAGATCAGCCTTCCAGTGGTAGCTAGAAGACAAAGTAGAGAAGGCAGAAACCAGGGCTGGACCGTGCTCTGGTGCTTATGGAAGGCAGATCCCACATGGCCCACTACAGTTTGAGTCCCAGCCCAGGGCCTAGAAAACCACGCTGGGAGCACATGTGTGTGCTCCGAACCCTGAGGGGATGGAGAAATGGTGAAGGGATCGTATTGTGACTATGCCCTCTCTAGCTCTCTTCTGATGAGTATATGTGTTCTTTGGCAATTATAAAAAAAAGAAAAAAGAGAAAAGAGAAATTGGGGCAAGAGGACCTTCTAAGAGACATCGTGACAGTCCCATGTGAGCAATGAAGCACCAATTAGGGCAACAGAAACATTTGGGAATTGAAGATTGGCAGTACATCCCTGAAGCAGAATCTGAGGGATGTAATGAACAACTAGTTTTTGCAGTGAGCAGGAGATAAAGCCTCTTCCTATAGCCATGTCCAATCACTCTGCAGTTTACAATATTCCAGCCAATTATGGTGGTGCCTTTCAGAGAATAGGTGGGCCTCTAAAGTCATGTTCTCCCTGCATTTCCCAGCTAGGCTGGCTGGGCACTCACCTGGGCATAGCTGGGACAGCCGAGGGAGTGCAGGAGCCGGGTGATGTGGCAAGAGGTGCCAGCTGCCTTTGCGCGGTCGTTCAGTCTCTCGGAGACAATCCGTAGAAGCAGCAGGACCTCCAGAGCCTGCAGGGGCTGGCCAGGCAGAAGCAGCAAGTTGACCCACCCCTGTTCTAGCCTCTAAACTGCCTTACTCCCTTTTGTTTCAAAGCCTAGACACCCATCATCATCAACAGCCTGAATTGAATGAGTACATACTACGGGCCTAGCCCTGTGCCAAGGTTTATGTGCCTCAGCTCACTTAATCTTCATAAGCAACCTGATCCCAATATTAGAGCCTAGGAAACTAAGACTTGTATAGGTTAAACTGCCTGTCCAACTTAACATGGCAGGTGTGTGGTAGAGCCACAGGCTCTTTAAGCTAGAAATATGGCCTAATGGTTCACAGTAACGAAGCCTTTCATGTGCAACTTTTTTTTGTTGTCTCCTAATGTGGAGTCTAGGAAAGAGCTTCAGGAAGCCTATGAAATATCCTGGAATTTCATGTGAAAACGTGTCTATGGGCATCTATGTATTTTTCTGAGAATATAGATCTCAAATTATCTAATAATATTAAGACTGGGACTAGGGGGACCAGCAGTTGGCGTAACGGCTACGTTGCTGGATCCATTAAGTTTATTGTGGTTCGAGTCCCAGACCCAGTGGTTTAAACTCACGCCGGGCGCGTGTGCATGTGTGCCCAAGATCCCAAGAGGAGAGTGGAGGAGAGGGGATTGCAGCAGGGCTGTTCCCCCTGGGGAGTGACTTCTCTCACTTTCTATCTCTCTGTCTTTCTGGTGTGTGCATGTGCCTTATAGCAAAAACCTCTCAAAAAAACAAAACAAAACAAAACAAAACTGGGATTAGGGCTGGCAGGTGGCATAGTGGTTAAGGGCACTGGACTCCTACATGGAGTCCATACTCCTACTATGGTTCAAGTCCTGGACCTGGTGGCTTGCTTTCTTACTTTCTTTCTCTCTCCAGTCAATTTAAAAAATGAATAAATAAAGTTAAAATAAAATAATCCTTTTTTTTTTTTTTTTTAAAAAAAAAGACTGAGACCAACAGATGGAGTAATAGTTACACTGCTGGACTCCCACATAGTCAACTATGGTTCGAGTCCCAGACCCAGTGGCTTAAAACTCATGCCAGGCACATGTGCGTGTATGCCCCAAATCCTGAGAGGATACTGGAGGAAAAGGGATTGCAGCGTGGCCACCCCCCTGCGAGGGTGATTTCTCGCTTTGTCTAGCTCTCTGGTGAGCATATGCACCCTATGACAAAAATCTCTTTAAAAAAAAATTAAGACTGTCACTTGAGCACACCCTCCACGTGTTATCACACTGAATGATTACAGTGCCATGAGGCACCGTCATTACTATTAGGCCTATCGTAGAGATAAGGAAACGCGGGCTCTGAAGGTTAAGCAACCTGCCGAGGCCATATACTAACCAATGGTGGAGCTTGGATTTAAACTCAGGGGGCCTAGTCATAGAGCCCGTGCTCTTAATCACTGAGTAACAGGCTTCCCAGCAGGTTCATAAGCCAAAGAAGGCAAAGGAGTTCAGTTGCTTTTAGCCATTGTTCAGATGGGTCTCCGTCAATGCCCTGCTCCCCCCTACCTTTGCCACCAGCTCGTAGAGGGCTGCAAGGATCTGCAGAGAGGCTGCTGTCTGCTGGAGACACCGCATGGCTGGGGCCTGCTCCTTTGTAAGCACCTCCTTCCACAGGGCCAGGGCTTGGTCCAGGCATTTGGACTGAGCTAAGTAGTCAGAACCAAAGGACAATTCTCTTCACATGGGTCATCTGGAGGGCACTCAGCTTCTCTATAACATCCTCTGCCCTTTATGCCAACCCCCCTCCCCACCACCACCTGCCTCCCACCCCCCCCCCCCCCCCCCCCCCCCGCCCCCCCCCCAGCCTCTCCCACACTGGGGGTCCCACACCATTCTGCACTTAGGAAACCACTGGGCTGACGGCCCTCACCAGCATCCGCAGCCAAGTTGAAGGCAATGTTACTGTACAGGAAACGATCTTCCTGAAGTTTATCTTCATAGTTCAGGTCGTTGACTTCAAATTCCTCCAGGTTACTAGGGGCCTGGGCTCTCCGATCACGCTCAATACCCTGGATGGGGCGATCAGGGTGAAAAACAAGGCTGGTACCAGCTTCCTGGGAGCCCAGGGGAAAGAATTCCTACCAACAGTTCTGCTACTCCTACAACAGCCACACTACATT